GGGGAGAGGCAGCGCCCGCCGAGCGGCCCTGACACTCCTTTTGACCTGTGAGGTGTACAGGTCCTCCATGGAGGGGGGGTAAGGTGTGGGCTCTTCCTCAGGTCCACTGTTTTGAGCATGTTCAGCTCTAGGTTGTTGCGACTACACCATAGGACCAGCTGCTCAACCTCCCATCTGTAGGCTGACTCGTCACCATCTCGGATGAGACCAATGACCGTTATCTCATCTGCAAACTTTAGGAGCTTGACAGAGGGGTCCTTCGCGATGATGGTGTTAAATACCGAGCTGAAGTCCACAAAGAGGGGTCATTGATCGAAAGCTTGTTCCTCAGCTTTTCAGAATACCTTCTCTTTGCTGCCCTGATCTCCCTTGTCAGTGTGTTTCTGACTCAGCTATACAGAATCCTGCCCCCACTTCTGTAGGCCTCCTCTTTGGCACAACAAAGCTGCTTGAGTCTTACTGTGAACCAGGGCTTGTTGTTGTTGTATGTACGGAAGGACTTGGTGGGCATGCACATATCCTCACAAAAGCTGATGTAAGATGTCACAGTGTCAGTGAGTTCATCCAGGTCTGTAGCTGCAGCCTCAAATACACTCCAGTCTGTACAATCAAAGCAGGCCTGTAGCTCTGACTTAGCTTGTTCAGTCCAGCTATTCAATGTTTTGAGCACAGGCTTCACAACTTTAAGTTTCTGCCTGTAGGTTGGAATAAAGTGGACCATACAGTGATCAGAGAGACTGAGGGCTGCACAGGGGACAGAGCGATAAGCATCTTTAATTGCTGTGTGGCAGTGGTCCAGTGTGATTTTGTCCCTGGTGGAACAGGTGATGTGCTGTCTGTATTTTGGCAATTCTTGGGTGAGGTTTGCTCTGTTAAAGTCCCCTAGAACAATGAGTGAGGAGTTGGGATGTTCTAGCTCCACGCTAGTTACCTATTCAGCCAGGAGCTGTGGTGTGTTAGTGTGGGCTTTCGGTTTTAACCCTTGTGTGGTCTTCGGGTCCATGGGACCCATTTTCATTTTTCATTTGAAGAAAAATTATACGATTGATTTTTTTCAAGCTCAGACTCATTGGCCTTGGCTCACTTTCTGTGAAGAACATACAGTATATCACAACACATTTTTTGTGACCACACAACCACACACTGCACCCCCCCACACACACACACATTTATATTACATACAGGGTGTTTGAGGTTTGAGTCCACTACACCTGGGGATAATAAAACTGTGGTTGCAACAATTTTGCATAGTTCAAGCATTTGCTCTGCTCTCTACCTCACAACACCATGCAAACTGACACACATTTTCCCCACTGTCTTTTGGCCATAGCAGCTTTGTATAAGTCAAGCACTCACTCTGTCTGCTCTCACATTCACCTTTAGCATTTTTATTGTGGTCACAGCAGTGCTGGATAGTTCAACCATTTACATCTGTTACCCATGTGCAGGACATAAAGTATTCTTTTGAACTTCTGATGCAAGATTCCATCCTGAACATTATTCTGGGGAATCCACAGAATCCCTGTGGGCTGCAGAAACTGGCAGAGAAATCTTCCATGCAACAATGCCTCTGAAAAGCTTCCACATCATTTCCAGGATTATCCGCTTTCATAACCGAGACAACAGACCAGCTTGACAGCGGCGAGACAAGCTAGGTGCCATCAGGATGGTGTGGGACAAGTGGGTGCACCGCCTCCCCCTGTTTTGCAACCCTGGGCCTAATGTCACCTTTGATGAGCAGCTGATGCCATTTAGGGACCGCTGCCGCTTTATGCAGTATATTCCATCCAAACCAGCAAAATACGGTATAAAGATCTGGGCTGCCTGTGATGCCACTACCTCATATGCTTGGAACTTGCAAGTCTACACAGGAAAGCCTGCTACAGGAGCCCCTAGGAAAAATCAAGCTAAGAGAGCTGTCCTGGACCTGACTCACCAACTTGGTTGACACAACATCAGATGCAACAATTATTTTACCTCACATAAGGCTGGGACAGCAGCTCCTAAAGAGGAAGCTGACCATGGTGGGAACAATTCGGAAAAACAAGCTGAGCTCCCATCCAAACTATTGATTACAAAGACCAACAACAACTCACACCAAACCACCTTTCTCCAACTTTTGTGAACAAAGAATGCTGTGTGGACATTCTGATAGGCAGTGCAGCTGCAATTTATTGGACCTGGACGAAGCTACAGAGGACATGTAACACAGACTTAGAGACTCTTTTTATCAATTGCAAACCTTTTTATTCTCCTTGTGAATTTTTGAGTTTCATTCTGAGTGGTGTGTATTTAAAAACAGAGTTGCTTGTGCATAAAAGTAGTAAGATCCCAGAATAATAACTAGAGAAATGCATTTTCTGAAGAAAATGCATATGGATGCTGAGTGCTGAAGGATCACCCTGAAAATGCTGAACATTTTGACACCTGTATGGTTTTGATAGCTGAAAGTATGCTGAAGTAGAATTTTCCCATTCATTTGAATGGGGCAAGATTTTCAAAATAAAGCTAAATATTTCAAAAGTATGAAGTTTACAAAAGTCCTGAATAGTAGCATGAATATCCTTGAAGAGCTGAACATTTTAATAGCTGAAAGTATGCTGAAGTTGAATTTCCCATTCATGGGATGGGGCAAGATTTTCAGAATAAAGCTAAATATTTCAAAAGTATGAAGTTTACAAAAGTCCTGAATAGTAGCATGAATATCCTTGAAGAGCTGAACATTTTAATAGCTGAAAGTATGCTGAAGTTGAATTTCCCATTCATGGGATGGGGCAAGATTTTCAGAATAAAGCTAAATATTTCAAAAGTATGAAGTTTACAAAAGTCCTGAATAGTAGCATGAATATCCTTGAAGAGCTGAACATTTTAATAGCTGAAAGTATGCTGAAGTTGAATTTCCCATTCATGGGATGGGGCAAGATTTTCAGAATAAAGCTAAATATTTCAAAAGTATGAAGTTTACAAAAGTCCTGAATAGTAGCATGAATATCCTTGAAGAGCTGAACATTTTAATAGCTGAAAGTATGCTGAAGTTGAATTTCCCATTCATGGGATGGGGCAAGATTTTCAGAATAAAGCTAAATATTTCAAAAGTATGAAGTTTACAAAAGTCCTGAATAGTAGCATGAATATCCTTGAAGAGCTGAACATTTTAATAGCTGAAAGTATGCTGAAGTTGAATTTCCCATTCATGGGATGGGGCAAGATTTTCAGAATAAAGCTAAATATTTCAAAAGTATGAAGTTTACAAAAGTCCTGAATAGTAGCATGAATATCCTTGAAGAGCTGAACATTTTAATAGCTGAAAGTATGCTGAAGTTGAATTTCCCATTCATGGGATGGGGCAAGATTTTCAGAATAAAGCTAAATATTTCAAAAGTATGAAGTTTACAAAAGTCCTGAATAGTAGCATGAATATCCTTGAAGAGCTGAACATTTTAATAGCTGAAAGTATGCTGAAGTTGAATTTCCCATTCATGGGATGGGGCAAGATTTTCAGAATAAAGCTAAATATTTCAAAAGTATGAAGTTTACAAAAGTCCTGAATAGTAGCATGAATATCCTTGAAGAGCTGAACATTTTAATAGCTGAACATATGCATAAGCAAAAATTTCCCCATTCATTTGAATGGGGCAAGATTTTCAAAATAAAGCTAAATATTTCAAGAGTATGAAGTTTACAAAAGTTCTGAATAGAAGCATGAATGTCCTTGAAGAGCTGAACATTTTGATAGCTTAAATTATGCTGAAGTGGAATTTTCCCATTCATTTGAATGGGGCAAGATTTTCAAAATAAAGCTAAATATTTTCAAAAGTATGAAGTTTAGAAAACTTCTAAAGAAAAGCATGACTGTCCTTGAAAAGCTGAACATTTTAATAGCTGACAGTATGCAGAAGTAAAAATTTCCCCATTTGACAATTTGATTCCATCTGGTTATACGGTATTGTTTCTGTGATTATTATATTACTGTTTCTATTGAATAGCTGATTAACCAGACCAATGTGGAGTGGAAGAGAGGAAAGGCTGTTTATGTAACTTTCTGCTTTAATAATACTAGTGTCACTGCTTCTGTTACTCGTGCACTATTTCCAGTTACTTGAAAGTATCTCAGAGTAGTCGATCAGTCTTGTTGTTGTTGTTGTTGATTACAGTGTATGTTTATTGTGTTTCAAGGCATTTGGATGGTGTGGTGTTCGACTGTGGCTGTGATATCCGTTGGATCCAGCTGTGGCAGCAGAGAGGAGAGGCCGGACTCCACACGCAGCAGCTGTACTGCAGGAATGGAGCTTCCAAGATACGACTGCACAATATGTACATCCACAACTGTGGTAAGAGGAGGGGAGAAGGAGGAGGAGACAGGGAAGGGTATGGTTGCATTTAAAAAAGAGGAACAAAATAGAAGGGAACCACAACAGAAGAAAGAAGAAGAACCACAACAACTGCAGAAAGGTGGGTGGTGAAACGTAGAATGTGGACAAGGAGACTGAAAAAGTTGGAGAAGGAATAAAAGAGTTAAAGGTAAAATAGAGGAAAGAGAAGAGGATCATGAGCTGAGCTGAGGCAGGAAGAGGAGGAAGTGTGACAGAGTTCAGAGGGTGAATCTGATGTGGGGAGTTGTGTTGATTCTGACAGAGGCTGTAGACTCTGTACTATTATCTCCTGGTGATGACTCATCCCTGTGACATCTAGTATGTGTGGGTGTTTGTTGATATGCATTCAATTGTTTCCTTTGTACTAATTTTATTTCATTAATTAAAAGTGAGTAATTGATTTGGTGTGAAAACATGTAGACAAAAGCAGTTACATAAGTATATTAACATGGACATATGCTGGCCGTGTGTGTGTGTTTTTCAGACTTACCAGAGATCAGTGTGAGCCATAGTAGTGTTTTGGTCATGGAGGGCGACAATGTGACGGTGAGCTGCAATGGATCCGGATCACCGCTGCCTGAAGTAGACTGGACTGTCAGCGGCTTGCACTCCATCAACACACACTTGGTCAGACACACAAACGTTAAAATAAGAGGCAATTCATGCTTTGCTTGTCCATTACAAAATGACACAATGACACAAAAATATCAAGTGTATTAGATATGATTCCAAGATACTTAAACTAGCTGTGGACCATTAGTGGTCACCATTGGTTCTCTTTGAGTCCTCTGGTGTCATTAAAGGTGTATTTCCACTGGAATGTTCCTGGTACTTTCCTTTCACAGGAACTACAGTACAAAAATTGTCCTGGGGTGATTTGTGATTTGGATTTCCACAGAAGGACCAAAGCTCTAAACAAGCCTGCTGATGTATTAAAAGCACCACAGTCTGCATGTAAAATGCTGCATGGTATTTGACCAGCGAGGGACGTTCAGGACTGAAGGCCTCATACCAATAGTTCTTGGGCCTTCAAAAAGTACTACCCCCCTACTGGGGACTTTTTTCAAGGGTGGAACTATGCCCCAGAACAAAATTTTGATGCTGGTTCCTTCAGTGGAAACAGGGCAGGCGATGTACAGTCACAGCCAAAAATATCGAATTTGTCAGATAACACACAGTTTTCTGGAAGAAATAGTGCATAATCTGACAGAAATGCAGGGATGCCAATATTTTTGGCCATGAGTGTATGTGTGTTCTTGAATTGTTCAGCTCTTATTTTTGTTTTACATTGCCCTCTATAGCATTTACCAAACTGCCAAAATCTGTCATGAAGTGGATGTCTCTAGTTGTAATGCAAATGCATTCAAAATATTTCATACATTTTTAAGTGCGTTTATTTTATTTTATGGCATACCTCATCAAGTCTTTGAAAACTTGAATCATGATAATTATACAAACTATATACTATTACAATGGTTTCTCATCAACATGTGTGTTCTCATCTGAAAATATAAATAAGCTATATACTCTTAAGTACATACATATGTTATATAAACATATATAAAAGTTGGTTAATATATGGGTACTCAATTTAAAACCTCAGAATTCAGCTACCTGTGAATAAGCCTGCACTTTTGCAGGTTTGGGCCAAAGGACTTAATTCTAGTGTATGACAGCATTTCCAGATGAATGTTAAACCAGTTTCAAAGAACTAAAAAAAACTCCAAAAATGTTAAGTCAACAACAATCAAATAAAGTGAATGTATTTATTCACAAATGGAGAACGGGGCCTTGACCTAACCAGCTTTGAAGTTATCAAATTAGCTTCACAGCATAGGTCACCTTGTTGATCTCTGCCTGTGTTTAAGATCAGTTTTGTGTGCTTTGTGAGAGGACTGACTTGAACCTACTGCAAGCTGGCTTACCTACTAATCATGCTCCCTGAGACAGGCCCCAGGGACGTCACAGCCGTAATAGCAGAGCTAAACAGCAAGAAGGGGGAACAGCAGTTTTTGACATTGCTGTGTGGATGTATTTGTCATCTGTGTCTTTAATTCTTGTAGTGACTTTTCAGATGTGAGATACCTCTGCCTCCAGCTTGATGTTTTAGGGTAGACTGATATTATAGGTCATCAGGATCAGTGAAGTGGTGAGGAACAGGCCAGGTGAAGGCAAGAAAAGAAACATAAGCATTGTGTTTGGCTGCCTACAGTTGTAAAGTTGTTAGTCTTTGCATTATTGCTGCAATTCTAGCCTTGAGAGAATAGACCAGACTAAATCAGTTAAGTAATTAAGTAGTGTGTACTCACTCCTTTACTTTGTTCTGTTTCTTACCACGGGACTCTAACCAATTAATAATTAACTTTAGCGTTAATTAAATAATGAAAGATTTAAACCCCACTAATATTATGGTAGGACCTATGTACTGTACAGTATATCTTCATGTACCCAAGTATTTCTCTTACTGTTTTTAACTTTCTGTCTATAGTCCAATGTGTACTGGCCGAACATCCACTCTATCAACCTGACACTTTTCAACATCAGCGGAGATGACAACAACTTCCAGCTGACCTGCATTGCAGAAAATGTAGTGGGAATGACTAACTCTTCCATTCAGCTCAACGTGCAGTGTGAGTTGGATTTTTATGGTGTATTGATAAAATCTTTGGGAAAATACTATCCAGTCACTGTAGAGGTGAGAGGAAAGCTGCATTTAAGCTCATAGTGGACACAGTAACTCATGGCTAGTGACAAACATTTCAAACCCACAGGCTCGCCTTCACTTCCTGCTTCTGCTTTGTGTAGCATGTTGCTTGACTTTGCATATTGTTTAGAAAACACTAGTCTCCTTAAACTGTGTAAAGCCTTAAGATACAGAGTTAAGATACAGGTATGTTGACATGAAATATTTGCTTATTCTGATTTTGTAAAATTACTCTAATAATTTGCAGAATTTCCTATGTTTGATATCATCAAAGATAATGGTGGGAAATTAGGAATCTTAAATGCATTTTGGGGAAAAAAAACTGAACCCAGTGGCTTGGCTTGGCTCAAGGTGCATACATAGGGTACTGTAGAGAAATATCACCAGGACAAAAGTAACAGTCATTGTTTGGTTGATACACAGTAGAATAATTGACTTGTTATACCTGAATTACAACACTTGTATTGCAGTATGTCAGTTTGTTTGCTGCATTTTAAAGATTTATTTACTGCAAATAAATTACCATAATAGGGTTATTAGTATGTTTTGTATGTAAAGATTACTGTGGCATTGTGTTGCCACAATATTTCACTGTTCCCTTTAAGACCAATATGGTTTAACTCACAGATTCTGCAGTGCTTTGTGCTAAATTCTAACTTCAGCATGCTAAAATGGCCATACTGACGATGCTGATGTTAAGCAAGCGTAATGTTTGCCATGTTTGGCATCTTAGTTGAGTGTGTTAGCATGCTAATATTTGTTAATTAGAACTAAACACAAACTGTGGTTGATGGAAGTGCCATTAACTTAGGAACTAAACCAAAGTACTGTAGCTATCAGAGTGATTGAAATTTTGACCTGATGATGATGCAAGGTTATTACAGCTCAAGGAGCACATGAAAGTCTGTATCATGTTTTATGGTAATCCATTCAACAACTGGCAAGACATTTCACTAAATACCAAAAAATTTCAGCCTCATGGTGGCAGTACAGAAAATGTCAGATAACCTATTTCTGTCTGGATCAAAGTAATGAACTGAAAGATTGATATTTCCTCGCTCATTAGTGGCATGGCTACTGATGTTTATCTCATGCTGTTCCCTCATGATTAAATATGAACTGTTGACCTAGGGTTGGCAGATAATGATGAATCCAGAGATAATTATTACCAAATTTTGTATGTCCCCTTAGTGGTAAAGAGCACTTTAGTGTCTTTCAGCTCATTTTGTTTTACTGGCCTGCAGCAAATGAGTGACAGACAAAGTTTGTGACTAGCTTGGGAAGCATTTAGCAGGCAAAGAGCAACATTACACTAGATCAAGATATGACATGAATTGCTAATAAACTTATATGGAGATATGGTTAGTTGATGTTATAGCTTAAGGTCACCACTGCTGTTAGTTTAACTGAACACAGTCAGGCAGACAAAAAAGAGCAGTAAGTCAAGAAGCCGACTGTGCTCTGTATATATTTAGAATATAGCTTTACAGTGTGACTGCTTGGAACCAAGATCATTGACTGTTTTTCTTTTGCATAAGATGGTTTTCATGGCAGTTTTGATGGACTTATGCTGGCGACTGAAATTATATCTTGCATTAATGATGCTGACAGTCTAGGATGATAATTTACAACAGGAAAAAAAAAATCTTCTTTCTCAAGCAGAACAGACAAATTATGCAGGTACATTTAGAAAGCAATGGGGTGTTGCACAGTTACAAACCAAATGAAATTGATGTAGCCAATTAGAAAGAATATAGCCTCCAGCCTACATGAAAGCTTAGCCTTGATCTGAGAGGAAAGAAAATAAAAAAAATAAGTAAACCCACAACACTTATAAAGCCATGATTTGATAACGATTACATTGTTCCTATAATGAATTACACACAATGAACTACAGTATAAACGTCAGCAAACTGGGCCTGGGAAGATTTGGGACAGGCTGTATTCAAAGTCAATATTTATCAAAGGTGACATTTTTCCTTTTGTAGCAAGCTGGCTGTTGTAATACACAGTCTATTGTGGTTGTTTGCAGTGTATCCCATTACAGAACAGAGAGTTGTCACCATGCATATCAACAATTCAAACACTCCCTACTGGAGCGGTTCGGCTGTGGACCATGCTAGATTGACTGTGCAACATCTAGCATTCAGGGTTTACTCCACTGACATTCTTTGCTGGTGCAAATTAACTTATTAATTTTTCACCACATGCTCTGATGGTAATTACATTTCCTTTCCTGTGCAGCCTATTGTCTCTGGAAATGTTATAAAATAGCTGCTCTGATTAGAGAGTAATCTGATTGACAGCAAAATTGCCAGCCATCAAATAACATTCTTTGCATTCAAAGATGACTTCCCTATTTTGGCAAAATGGTAATTAACCACAATGCAAATTGTGCAGACCCATTGTTCTGCTGCTGTCTGGAACAGAAGCAGCTCTACAACATTGTGGACTCACATACCATACCATGTTTTTCCCTTATCCTATAGGCATGGTGTGGGTCTCAATTATGGAAACACCACTAGCTACTGTAATACCTGGGTTAGTAGTTCTGTTCTAATTAGGTTATTTTACCCGCGCTGAGACTATATCTGTAAACTAACTGTGCTGCGTCTCACTGGTTAAAATCTTAATCACAATGTGGCAATATCTATCCCATGAAAACAGTTCTCCCTCATCTGTCACCACAAGCCATGATGTCCTATCTGTAGTCTAGCTGGAACATGGCATTTGAAATATGCTACCGGTGTTACCACTAGATAACACTGTACAACTAGCCTTGTACTCAATGTTCTCACTGATCAAAGGCATGTAGTTATCCGATTTTGTCATCTGTATGTTGTCATAGGCCAGTATGAGACTGGCCTGAAAGCCTTGCTGAGGAGAAAATAGATCAGTCCCTTACTGTTCATCAACAAGAGAATTTTGTTTTGTCCTCTTTTTTCCTCTCTATCTTTAGACTACACTGCTATATACCGCCCCCACTCCATGCCTATTTTCCTCTTGCCTCTTTCTTTTCTCTCATCTCTGTATTCTTTTTTTTGTGTGTGTATTTCTTCCTGTGCTCAAAATCACAGCTTTACCAACACATTCACACATAGATGTGCCTTAGCCTTTGGTTTGGTTGAATGACTTTATTGTCACTATTGTCTGCAAGAACAGTATCAGTGAAGCAATTAGAAACTGATGTCCAACATGTGCACGAATTACTCATGTGCGCTCTCCTCCCCTGTGCTGCGTTAACCCCCCACGGCAAGCGCAGTGCATACTGCATCCTATATGAAAATGGCTCCACCCTTTTATACCAACTCACCCAGCAGAGAGACAGCTGACTTGGCTACAAATCCCCTGCAGTCAACCTCCACAGGATGGACTTTAACTTTCCAGCCATGCTCCTATGCCTCCATGGCTAATTCTAAAAAAGAACTGGTACAATACTGTATGTTGTCTGAATATTTTGATTGATGAAGTGGGTGCAAATGTTAGATTACAAATTTCAGAAGGTTAAAAAATTTGTTTGTACAGTAACCCAATTCCAGTGCCAGAAAGGTCTGGGGGGGAGGGGGTTTCCAAAGTTTTTTTTTTATCTGACAGTTCTGATGAAGCATACTGGCAGTTGCTGTTTGATCAGTATTTTCCAAACATTATAAAATGGTCTAGTCTTGTATATATAGTAAGGAGTGGGGGGCAGGGTATTAAATATAGTCCCTTTTATGGGGAAATAGTTCCCTCCATATATCAATTAGGCCAACTTCTTCGAAAAGTACCTATATAGAAAAATTGTTTCATGGGGTTTTCTACTGGATGAGTCCAGGTTTGGTTGTAATTTTAAGTTTAAGTCTCCCCACATATCAAGAGGCCATTTGTTCCCATTACCATAATACCACATGGGCAATGGAAAAGTAGCCCGCCTCCAAAACAATCCACTTGCTCATTCATCTTGGTAGACTACTTTTCCATGGCCCACCCTGTATTAGTGATTTTCTGGAAAAAAAAACCCATCACTTCTTAGGGGTGCATATATGTTTAATAGAGTGACTGGATTCCCTTCTGTGTTCCCTTTTACTAGGATATATTTGCCCTCCTTATCTCCCATTTAAAATACCTTTTCAAAGTTTAACTTATTTGCAGTGAGGATTGCAACTCCTCTCCTGTCTCCTAATTTATATGACGAGAAAAACAAATTGGTGAAGCCCATTCACTTTATTTTTCCATGCTCTTTATCATTTACTGTAGGTGGATTTCTTGTAGATATACTGTTTGGTCAGGGAGCAAGGTAAAAGAACTAAAACCAAACCAGAGAAACTAACCAAGGAACTACTGACAGTTAAATCCCAAAACACAGAGGAGCAAACCCAAAGAAGCCAGGACAGGAAACCAACGTGAGACAAATAAAGAACTTAATGATACAGGCATACAGGGTGAGGTGAGTGGAGATAGCAAGTGCACGAACTGGCAGGGTGTGGTGAACAGAGAATGAACCAACAAGAGACTGAGGGAAAGAATGAGTATATGTGGGCAAGAGAACAGAGAAACAGAGCAACATGTGAAAACGATGAGTGGTGATTGTGCACTGGGACAAAGCTGGGGTAGGTGAGGTGATACAAGACAGGAAACTAACCAAAATAAAAGCACCAAACAGGAAGCAAGACCACAAACCATAACACTATATGGTCTTGTTCGTTCCTCATTTTAAGATAAGATTTTGTTGCGCATGATTGGGTTCAAAAGCTTACTGACATTAAAAAAGATAACATGTATTTTGTTATTGATTATGTGTATCTGCCTGTCACTATATCCTTGGGGTGTCAGAAATGAAACTTACCTGATGTACACCCTGGACAAACAAGACCAAAGAAATGCAAATAAAAGAAACAATAAAAAATGTGTCACTCCAAGGAAGGGATGACCCTGGGCTGAGTTAGAGAGAACATGTAACTGTGGGGGATAGTTTCTCCTGGCTTTAGGCTAAGGACCCTCACTACAGCATCCTTAAGAATAAATAAAAGAGGAGGATTTCCCATTACACAGTGAAAGAATAACTTTCCTTCATGTTCCTCCTGTTTATATATTCTCATCCACTCAGAGCAAAAGGAATGGATATAAACGATAAAACAAGGCAAACCAGGCATAATCCTCATTATAATGTGATTCACAGAGTGTTTATACCATTGTCTGTCTTTCCTGTTTTTAGTTGCCTCATCTGCTATCTGGTACAGCTGTGTCCTATCCTTCTAGAACACTCGTAGTATTGCAGGATGTGGGGTCTGGAAACTAAGATTTCTCTTCTTCAGCACCTATTTTGCTTTTCTGCAGAACCACTGGGAGGGTAGTCCTGGTTTAAGTATATTGGTGTCTCAATCAGAAACACTCACTTCTTTCCCCAAGCTTTGCGTAGAATCTTTGCTCTTATTTTGTAGCTGTAGAATCTGATTATTATAGATTGTTGCTTCTCTTCCTTATGCCTGGTGGGTCTCAGAGCAAGCAAGTGATGTGCTCTCCCTATGTTAAGCCCTGTAGTTGGGGGGATCTCCAGCATGGTCCGCAAAAGTTTTTCCACAAAATCCACCATAGATGACCACTCCGTTCCTTCAGGGACATTGTATTGTATTGTTTTATGTCTTTATAGAAGTCCCTTAACTCTTCCCAACTCTGGTTACACTTGCCTCTTCACTTCAGTGGGAGGTAGTTTTAGCTTCACCATGTGTGTGTATTTTCTTCATTTGCAGGCTCTTACAGCAGTGCTTTTCTTATTTCCATCCTTTTTTCCCATTATTTCCCCTTTTACATATTCCAGTTATAGTAAAAAGTGTAAAATGTAATTTAGTGTAGTTAGTAGGGACAAATATATTTTTCTTCAGAGGAGCAGATTTTCTTAGGCTGCCATTTTGGGTGGTGGCTTCCGGAAGTCTCCTCTTCTGTCTATTTCATGCAAAAGTTGCTCTATCTCTTTGTTTTCCTCACCATCCCTTGTACTGCTGAAATATGTAACAAAACAGCTACAGTATGTGTTTAGTCTCATGCTGCATTTTTGAGGTTATTCAAAGAATTGGTAAAGGTTTTCATCAGCCCAGGGATTGTGGAAGTTTCTTAATTCATGAAGGTCTTTGTAATTAAACCAGTGAGGGTTTAAATAAGGCAAAGAGGACTTTTGGAACAAAAGATAATCTGCTCTTTCCC